GGTGATTTTTATACTTACTTTGGATGGTAAGTGCTTCTGTGAACTGTTCTGTGACATTTTCTCTGATGATTTCAACAAACTAAAAGCTGTATTAAAAAAATTAATAAGCTGTAACTATAGTGCAGGTTTTGGTGTGTAATTAAAAAAGTGTTTACAGAAGATTTGCAATGCTTTGCTCACAGAAACTACATGCAGACACTTTTACAAGTGTTTTATGTGTGTTTGCATGAATGGAGGAGATTTAAGACGGTCCAAAATTCACATGAAGGTAAGACTATAGTCTCACATATTTCAGCAATTTGGTGAAAATGCAAAGGTGATTTTTATACTTATTTGGATGGTAAGTGCTTCTGTGAACTGTTCTGTGACATTTTCTGATGATTTCAACACAATAAAGCTGTATTAAAAAAAATAATAAGCTGTACCTATAGTGGCAGGTTTTGGTGTGTACTAAAAAGTGTTTATGCAAAGAATTTGCAATGCTTTGCTCACAGAAACCACCTGAACACTTTTACAGTGTTTTATGTGTGTTTGCATGAAATTGAGGAGATTAAGAACGGTCCCAAAAATTCACATGCAGGTAGACTATAGTCTTACATATTTCTTTCTGCAATTTTGGTGAAAACTACAGTGATTTTTCTACTTCTTTTGGATGGTAAGTGCTTCTGTGAACTGTTCTGTGACCTTTTCTGATGATTTCAACACAAATAAAGCTGTATTAAAAAATAATAAAGCTGTAACTATAGTGCAGGTTTTGGTGTGTCACCTAAAAAGTGTTTACACGAGATTTTGCAATGCTTTGCTCCCGAGAACTACATGAGACACTTTTACAACTGTTTTTATGTGTGTTTGCATGAAAATGAGGAGATTTAAGAACGGTCCAAAAATTCACATGAAGGTGAGATTATAGTCTTACATATTTCTGCAATTTTGGTGAAAAATACAAAATGATTTTTATACTTATTTTGGATGGTAAGTGCTTCTGTGAACTGTTCTGTGACATTTTCTGATGATTTCAACAAAATAAAGCTGAATTAAAAAAAATAATAAAGCTGTAACTATAGTGCAGGTTTTGGTGTGTAACTAAAAAGTGTTTACAAGAAGAATTTGCAATGCATTGCTCACAAAAACTACATGAAGACACTTTTACAAGTGTTTTATGTGTGTTTGCATGAAATTGAGGAGATTTAAGAACGGTCCAAAATTCACATGAGGTAAGACTATAGTCTTACATATTTCTGCAATTTTGGTGAAAATGTACAGGTGATTTTTATGCTTATTTTGGATGGTAAGTGCTTCTGTGAACTGTTCTGTGACATTTTCTGATGATTTCAACAAAACTAAAAGCTGTATTAAAAAAAATAATAAAGCTGTAACTATAGTGCAGGTTTTGGTGTGTAACTAAAAAGTGTTTACAAGAAGAATTTGCAATGCATTTGCTCACAAAACTACATGAAGACACTTTTACAAGTGTTTTATGTGTGTTTGCATGAAATTGAGGAGATTTAAGAACGGTCCAAAAATTCACATGAAGGTAAGACTATAGTCTCACATATTTCTGCAATTTTGGTGAAAATGTAAGGTGATTTTTATACTTATTTTGGATGGTAAGTGCTTCTGTGAACTGTTCTGTGACATTTTCTGATGATTTCAACAAAATAAAGCTGTATTAAAAAAAATAATAAAGCTGTAACTATAGTGCAGGTTTTGGTGTGTAACTAAAAAGTGTTTACAAGAAGAATTTGCAATGCATTGCTCACAAAAACTACATGAAGACACTTTTACAAGTGTTTTATGTGTGTTTGCATGAAAATTGAGGAGATTTAAGAACGGTCCAAAAATTCACATGAAGGTAAGACTATAGTCTTACATATTTCTGCAATTTTGGTGAAAAATGTAAGGTGATTTTTATGCTTATTTTGGATGGTAAGTGCTTCTGTGAACTGTTCTGTGACATTTTCTGATGATTTCAATAAAAATAAAGCTGTATTAAAAAAAATAATAAAGCTGTAACTATAGTGCAGGTTTTGGTGTGTAATTAAAAAAAGTGTTTACAAGAAGAATTTGCAATGCATTGCTCACAAAAACTACATGAAGACACTTTTACAACTGTTTTATGTGTGTTTGCATGAAAATTGAGGAGATTTAAGAACGGTCCAAAAATTCACATGAAGGTAAGACTATAGTCTTACATATTTCTGCAATTTTGGTGAAAAATGTAAGGTGATTTTTATGCTTATTTTGGATGGTAAGTGCTTCTGTGAACTGTTCTGTGACATTTTCTGATGATTTCAACACACAAAAAGCTGTATTAAAAAAATAATAAAGCTGTAACTATAGTGCAGGTTTTGGTGTGTAACTAAAAAAGTGTTTTACAAGAAGATTTTGCAATGCTTTGCTCACAGAAACTACATGAAGACACTTTTACAACTGTTTTATGTGTGTTTGCATGAAAATTGAGGAGATTTAAGAACGGTCCAAAAATTCACATGAAGGTAAGACTATAGTCTTACATATTTCTGCAATTTTGGTGAAAAATGTAAGGTGATTTTTATACTTATTTTGGATGGTAAGTGCTTCTGTGAACTGTTCTGTGATATTTTCTGATGATTTCAATAAAAAAAAGCTGTATTAAAAAAATAATAAAGCTGTAACTATAGTGCAGGTTTTGGTGTGTAACTAAAAAGTGTTTACAAGAAGAATTTGCAATGCTTTGCTCACAAAACTACATGAAGACACTTTTACAAGTGTTTTATGTGTGTTTGCATGAAAATTGAGGAGATTTAAGAACGGTCCAAAAATTCACATGAAGGTAAGACTATAGTCTTACATATTTCTGCAATTTTGGTGAAAAATGTAAGGTGATTTTTATGCTTATTTTGGATGGTAAGTGCTTCTGTGAACTGTTCTGTGACATTTTCTGATGATTTCAACAAAAATAAAGCTGAATTAAAAGATGAGTAAAAAGTTGTAACTATAGTGCAGGTTTTGGTGTGTAACTAAAGTGTTTTCAAGAAGAATTTGCAATGCTTTGCTCACAGAAAACTACATGAAGACACTTTTACTACTGTTTTATGTGTGTTTGCATGAAAATTGAGGAGATTTAAGAACGGTCCAAAAATTCACATGAAGGTAAGACTATAGTCTTACATATTTCTGCAATTTTGGTGAAAAATGTAAGGTGATTTTTATACTTACTTTGGATGGTAAGTGCTTCTGTGAACTGTTCTGTGATATTTTCTGATGATTTCAACAAAATAAAGCTGTATTAAAAAAAATAATAAAGCTGTAACTATAGTGCAGGTTTTGGTGTGTAACTAAAAAGTGTTTACAAGAAGAATTTGCAATGCATTGCTCACAAAAACTACATGAAGACACTTTTACAAGTGTTTTATGTGTGTTTGCATGAAAATTGAGGAGATTTAAGAACGGTCCAAAAATTCACATGAAGGTAAGACTATAGTCTTACATATTTCTGCAATTTTGGTGAAAAATGTAAGGTGATTTTTATGCTTATTTTGGATGGTAAGTGCTTCTGTGAACTGTTCTGTGACATTTTCTGATGATTTCAACAAAACTAAAGCTGTATTAAAAAAAAATAATAAAGCTGTAACTATAGTGCAGGTTTTGGTGTGTAATTAAAAAAAGTGTTTACAAGAAGAATTTGCAATACATTGCTCACAAAAACTACATGAAGACACTTTTACAAGTGTTTTATGTGTGTTTGCATGAAAATTGAGGAGATTTAAGAACGGTCCAAAAATTCACATGAAGGTAAGACTATAGTCTTACATATTTCTGCAATTTTGGTGAAAAATGTAAGGTGATTTTTATACTTACTTTGGATGGTAAGTGCTTCTGTGAACTGTTCTTTGACATTTTCTGATGATTTCAATAAAAAAAAGCTGTATTAAAAAAAAATAATAAAGCTGTAACTATAGTGCAGGTTTTGGTGTGTAATTAAAAAAAGTGTTTACAAGAAGAATTTGCAATGCTTTGCTCACAGAAACCACATGAAGACACTTTTACAACTGTTTTATGTGTGTTTGCATGAAAATTGAGGAGATTTAAGAACGGTCCAAAAATTCAC